CTCTGGAGCTGGGGCTGAGCCGAGACTGTGTGGGGCGGGATGCCACCTTCTCCCCCCTGGGGCTCTCCTGTCTTGGAACGGGATGATACAGGCTCCCACGGCCGCCCCCACCACCCAGTGGCTGGCTTGGTCTCCTCCCACCCAGCCCCGATGGCCACCATCAATGGGGCTCTGTTCTATGGGATTTGGCCCAGGCCCCTGTCGCAAGCCAAGGCCCCAGGGCCCAGGGCTGTACAGGTGGTAAGGGAAGGGAGGGTTGGGCAACGGGATGTGGAGAGGGTGCCCAGGCCTGCTCCAGTCCCACCCTCCCAGCCCACGGCCTCATTGCCACCCTGCAGGTCCAGGGTGGGGGACACAGGTGACAGAGTGGGGTGGGGGCAATCTGTTCTTCCGTCATCCACTGCCAGATTGTCTGCGGGGCAGAGACCCCATGCCAAGCAAAGTGGGTATAAGGACAGAAAGAGGGTTTCGGCCCAACCATGGGGCTGGACCACTAGAGGAGGAAGTGGAAAGGCCTGGGCACCTCAGGCTTTGCCCCGAGGCCAGGGAGATGCATGGGGCAAAGCACATTTTGCTGGGGGACTGAAGAGAAACAAGGCACTTTGACCGTCACCTGAGCGGCCCCCCAGCCCTCTGTCCCACAGCAGACAACCTTAGAAGGGCCCAGCCACTCTGGAGGAGGTGGGTGGAGGACACATCCCATTCTGATTAGACATAAGTACAGGTCTAAGAAGAATGTGTTCAACAAAGACCCCAAGAGCCCCAGGGAGCACCCCAACATTCCCATCTTCCCAGCCCCCAAGGAGCCTGGTGCTTGGTTCAGAAGGGCCAGGAGCTCCTCAATCACTTCACATAGTCCCCTCTGTGACCCCACCTCTGACCTCAGGCTCCTGGGACTCACACAGCCCCAAAGGAAGACGTGGAGATATCAGATGTTAGTCAGATGTTAGGACTGAGGGAGATTTGCGGTCATGACTTTGGAAATTGGCCCTCCTTGCTCACTTGAGCTTTCAGCTGGAAAACTGGAAAATGGGCCCAGAGAGGTGAGAGACTCACACATGGGAAGGAGCAGCAACAGCACTTGTCACACTCCTTCCACGTCAGCCAGAGCCCGAGCGGGAACTCTGGCCACTTGTGGCCCCAGGGTCCTGAAGGAGAGGACAGTGGCCCACTCCCAAGGCCTGAGGAAGGCAGGTGGAGAGCGAGCCCCCTCCGGGCATAAAAGAAGCTGCAGGACTCTTCCAGGGCCACTATGAGAGGGTGTAAGTGGCTCCCAATTGCTACAGAAGTTGAACCTAACGCCCATGAGGAATGGGGTGAGGGGCACTCACAGAATTAGTCCCTTAAAGCCCAAGAACAGATCCTCCCTTCTGCTGGGAGCTGGGATACAAGGCATTTGGGCAAGCCAGGCTGGGAGGTGTATCCCCACCGAACTGTGTGTCCTTGGGCTGTTTGCAACCTCTCTGGGCCCCCTCTGCCTTTATGAAAGGGGAAGTCCTTTCAAAAAACATTGGCCTGAAATCCCAGGACAGAGCTGGGACTAAGTGTCACTTCCCACTGACCTTTGTTTCCTGTCCCTGAGGCTGTGATCGCTTTCTCAGCCTCCCTTATCACTCCCTGCTGGTGTGTGGGAAGGGGAGACAGTCAGGAGTGGGACTTCTGGGGAAGGGAGTGATGTCAGCCCTCTGAGTCAGGGCAGCCGGGGAGGTGGGAATAGAGTCGGCCCCACACATTCCACAGCCCCACAGGTTGACCTGGTACTTTCTGCCAGGTTTTGTGGGCAAGCTGGTGATAGACAGTGGCACAGGCTGCCAGGGCTCGCACTGGGAGTTCCTGCTTAGAGACAGGCTCCCTCCCAGCCAGGCAGGGGCTCCGGGGTCCCAGCCCAGACAAAGCAGGGGCGGGGGAGAGACACAGTGCCTCCTTAGGCCCTCTCTGCTTTCAGGCAGGACACCCAAGTTCAGACCTTCTCTCTGTGGCTAAAGAGGAGCAGTTTCCTCCCCTCCACTGCTGCTTCAACCAAGGGCTTCTATGCCTGGAGACTTTCACCTGCCTAGCCCCCCACCCCCAGGTCCCCCCGCGGTAGGACACAAGCACCAAGGGGATATCAGGTTGCTGTGGGAGGAACAAGGCAAGACGGCTAATGGTGCCTGTGGAGCCCCCAACAGCACCCATGGGAGGCCAGGCTGGATACGGGGTCATAGCAAAGATAAGGGGTGAAGACAAGAGTTGCTGCCCTTGGGCACCCTCCTATAGGGGTAGGACTTCCTAAGCCAACTGTGATGACTATTACAGTCAGCCTTTACTCAGCAGTCATGACAGGGCCAACACGTTCGGTGTGGGAATGCATCTCATGTCCACGCTGGGTGAGCTCCGTCTGCCTCCTTCCGACTCCAGATCAGTCACCCTCCTCCTAGACCCCTGTAGGCTGCTCCCTTGCTTTCTGGCTTCACTAGTTTGCCAAGGCTGGGGGGGGCAGTGACAGGAGATCTGGGAGGGTGGAAGGAAGGGCAGGCATTTCTCCCTGGCTTCCTCTCTGCTGTCCTCCATGATTACAGCTTCTTCCATCTGTCACTCACTTCTTCCTCTTGTCTTTCAGCTCTACACAGGTGACCTCCTCATCCTGGTTCTCCATTTCCACGGGAAGGCCCACGTCCTGGAAAACAGCTCAGCCCTGGACAAACCGAGGTTGGCCCCTCCAGCTCTGCCGACCTCAGGGCCCCTCCATCCTTTCTGCATTCCCTCAGCCATGCCCACACCTCCTTAGGAGCTCCTGGCATGAAAGCCCATCTAAGTGAACTTTCTTGGGTGAATTTTGTCTCCTGCTGGGATCCTGAATGGCACCACGCCCACACAGCCCTGTGAGGTCAGCATTATTAATCTATCCTCACAGATGAGAACACTGGAGGGGTTACATAGCTTGGTCAAAATCACACTATTGGTAAGTGGCAGAGCTGGGATACAAGCCCAGGAATCCTGGTTCCTGGGCCATGGGCTTTCCAGCTCATGTCTCCCTTACAGAAGGCTAAAAAGCCTCCTTCTCAGATACTTTTAATGGAGAGATCCTTGAGTCTGAGAAAAAGGCTAACCTCCCCTTAAAGCTGGTTGCAGGGTGGACATGGGGGAGGGATGACATGACCTCCTGTGGCCTAGGCCATGGAGTTTGGAGTTGAGCCACATGGGAGGGAGAAGACGGGAAGAGCAAGTGCAGGAGCTGATGGGTAGCTGGGGTAGGGGCTGGGGTGGAGAAAGTGACCCTCTTCACCCACCTAGCAACTGGCCCTGAGGCCCATGCTCCTGGCTTCCTATAGAGCATCCTGCAGAAGAGGGAAGAAGTTTCCAGCCTCATGTTCAGACAGGCCCAGTGATAGGGTGAGAGCCAAGAGGTAAGGGGATGGGCAGAATTCCAGTCCCAAGAGCTCATCAAACTCCCCCCACCCCACAGCAGCTGAGCCACTGATCCCCATCCTGGGTGCAGGAGACCAACCTGCCCACTGGTCCCAGACTAATAGGAAAGCTGGATCCCAGACCAGAACCAGACAGAGACAGAGCCAAGGACAACAACAGGTGTAGCCAGGCTTGGGGAATTAGGGAAGGTTTCCAGGAGGAGAAAAATCTGGTGCACACGTGAGAAGAAGGAGGAACAGGAATGAGCAGCTGTCTTCAGCCTGGAGTACAGTTATTTTACCAGGGAACAAGCTGGAAGGGCTACTGAAACATCAGTGGAGATGGAGGAAATGGAGGGCATCCGGGGAGCAGAGTGGAGACCTGGAAGAAGCCCTCTGATGAACTGATTGGGATGAGGGGTGAGATGCCCATTGGCTATTCCTAAACAGTAATAGACATTCCACAAATTGCCTTCTGGGAGGAGTGGGCTGGGCAGCAACACTGCTTCTGTTTTGCTGGGTGAGATGCAAGCCTGAGGCAGAGCTGAATTGCCAGAAGGAGTGGCAGGGAAGCTGCACAGTGCCACAAGGAACCTTCATCTCTGCCCTCCAGCCTCCCCTCTAAACGCCCTCGGAACCTGCATTTAAAACTATTGCTTAGTGTCAGTGCTTATTATTGCTTAGTGTCAGACTTATTAACCTGCTTGGGGGCACCCCTGTCCAGGAGAGGGGCCAGGTTAAAGCTCAGAGAGGAGGTGAGGCTGACGTGACAAGACCCAGCTTGCTACCCCGGATGAATGTGGAGCCAGCACACCACTGGGAAAGGACCAGAAGAAAGGACAGGACACAAAGAAATGACCCCCGAGAAACCCCCATCCTCCAACACAGGCTGTCTGAATGAGCCACAGGAGGCTGGCCTCTGGCACTGGTAACCACAGACTCCAGAAGGAAGATCTGGCTCTCACGGGTGGGAGGCATTATGCTAGAGAACCCGCAGACTGAAGGGATGGGAGAGACTGAACCCAGGGGCACCTTTCCTACCTCCGAGTCCACCAGAGCTCAGGGTTGTGAGTTTGAGCCCCAAACTGGACATAGAGCTTACTCTTTTAAAAAGAGAGACACTGACCCCATTGGGAGGGCTGGATGGGGTTGATCTTGCTTGCCAGTGTAACCCAGCCCTGGCACCATGCCTTAAGCATGCTTTGCACTCAATCAAATTTGTGGGAGGAAAACAATGGGAGAGGGGAGAGAGAAAGGAAGACACCCCCACTCAAGGAGAAATGGGTGCTGCTTCATTTCCCAGAAGAGCTAGAAAGATGGAGGTCCAGGGACAGGTGAGGAGGATGAAGGTGGTGACCCTTGGTTCTGGCCCCCAGGCTCTGATCACTGGGTCTCTGGCCTCTCCCCTCCCCCACAAAGGAAAATACGTGGCTGGCCAAGCCCACCAGAGGTTTCCCAGCTCCACCTGAGAACTGTGGAGAGGAGAGGATGAGGCTGGTTGGCTGGAGGACAGGGCGTGTTGGATCTGGGCCTGGGGCAGACAGCAGGCAAATGAAACACAAACCCCTATGCGGAGCAGAGCAGACTGGGCACACACTCAGAACAGCAGGCAAACATGGTTTTATTGACTTTCGCAGAGTCCTCTGTGGGCTGGCTCAGGCTGTGGGCAGTGGACACGGAGCTGGCCGTGCAGGGAGGTGGGTGGTGGAGGTAGGAGCAGTGCTGAGAGGGCTCGGGAAGGCACAAGGAACAAGTGGCTGCAAGGTCACTCAGTAAGTGACAGACGTCTTCAGACTTGACTCCACTGTCTTCTTCAGGATGGTGTGGCCGCCAGAGCTAGAGCCAGAGCTAGAGCCCGAGACAGAGCAGGAGCCCCAAACAGGACCCTGCCCAGAGCCCAGGATGACATTGGAGCCTCCAGTCACAATGCTGGAGCAGTTGGACCCAAAGCTGCCTTTCCCGTCTGCAAGTCCACAAGTGGCCCCCAGGTCACTGCCCGCTCCTCCAGACACAACGACGCTGCCTCCGCCCACAGCTGCCAAGAAATGTACCATGTTCTCAGCACGGTCCTTGGTTCCCCATGGGGACCACTCTCCCCAAGCACCCTGATACTCACAGATAGTGACCTGGCTGGTGCACCTCCCAGACATCCTGGCAGAGAAAGAAGAGGAAATGCTCAGAAAGGCTGCAAAGAATATGCCCCCAGGTATTTGACCCTTTCAGCAGATCAAATCCATAGTCCCGAGTTTAAAACCCTCCCAGCAGGATAGGTTGCCCTCGGTGTCTCAGAGTGCTAGGAAATCTCAGAATCCCCTTCAGCAAGGAGAGCACTTCGGTGGTGGTCCATCTTCTGCTCCCATTTCTCCCATGTTCCCAGGTCCCCACCTGCTCTCCTCAACCTCCAGCAGCCTGCGGTAGGTGGCGATCTCCACGTCCAGAGCCAGCTTCGTGCTCATGAGCTCCTGGTACTCGCGCAGCACCCGGGCTAGGTCCTGCTTGGCTGCTCTCAGGGCGGCCTCCAGCTCGTCCAGTTTGGTCTGAGCATCCTTGAGGGCCAGCTCCCCACGGCGCTCGGCATCGGCAATGGTGGCCTGCAGGTCGGCATTCTGGAAGGGGAGTAGAGATGAGACAGAAGGTGGCTGCAAGTCCAGCACAGCCTCCCAAGGAACCTACTGTGGCTAGAGCCTAAAGCCCAGGGTAGACCACAATCTTATGAGCTCAAAATTATCCACAGCCATCCCCCTTCCCCCAGTTCCTCTCATTCTAAGGGAAAGCATTGCCTCTTCTGTTTCCTTAACTCCTGGAGTGTGTTGAATAGTGTCCCCAAAAATGTCATGTCCACCTAGAACTTCAGACTGTGATCTTATTTGGAAATAGGGTCTTCACAGATGTAAGTCGTCAAAGATCTCAAGATGACTATCATACGTATGTATATAGAATAAGCCTTAAATTCCATGAGTAGTGTCCCTAGAAAAAGATGACAGAACACAGAGACAGATACAGAGTGATGATGCCATGTGACCATGGAGGCAGGGATGGAGTGATGCAGCCGAAAGACAAGGAATGTCAAGGATTCTCAGGCTACCAGAGGCTGGGGTAAGGCAAGGAAGGATTTCCCTGCCCCCCTGCCCCGCCCCCACTCCTTCAGAGGGAGTGCACCTGCCAACACCTGATTCCATAGGTCTGGCCTCCAGAACTGAGAGAACATGTGGTCTGGTGTGTCAAGCCTCCAAGTCTGTGGTGCTGTGTTGCAGCAGCCCCAGAAACCCATCCCTTAGCCCGTTCCTCGAGGCACTTTCTCCCTGGACTCTTAATGTTCTTCCAGCCCCGCTGCATGGAGCATTATCGACCAAGCATCATCTTGAGGGTTGCCAAGGTCCTTGATCATTTTAGAACAACCTCACTTCAAAAACTTTGTCCTACTATCAAAGCATATGGAACCATATGCCTCAGTTTGGGGTTTGAGAAACACCCTCTCTGTGCTTACCTCTTTGATCTGATAGAAAACTCGCAGAAGGAGAGCAAGAAAAACATCCCCATCTACCTGGCCATCTAGCCGACTGATCCTCAGGATCAGGAAGGAAGGCATTCCCTAAAGGCTCTCATTATTCTACTCCCATTCTAGCCTCATTATTCTGTTCTGTTCTATACACAAGCGCCCTGTGGATGTGGAACATTGGCTCTCTTCTCCAGATGAAGAAACGGAGATTCAGAAAGGTAGCGAGGGGCAGAGCTGCGTCCCTAACCCAACAGCTGGTCCACCGCTCCCAGCCTGCAGGGCTCTGCCAGGACCTGCACAAAGGAGTCTGGTCCATCATGTTTGTGCAGGAAAAGGAAGAGTAAGGGGGGTACTGCATTCCCAAGAGGGATTCTCGCAAGAAAGGTACCTTGTGGCAGCTCCCAGCTGCGGGGACGTGGTAGCCCTCCTAAGTACAGGCAGCTGGGCTGAGACTGCATGCTCCCAACTGGGTGAAGTAAGCTCAGAAAGTAGGTTTCTGGGCTACCCTTAGAGGTTGAGTCCCTGACAAAGGCCCAGGAATCTGCATTTTAACAGACACCCCGGGGAATTCCCAAGTAAGGAATGCAAATTTATGGGCAAAAACACTGTGGCAGCCAACTGAATAATGGGACCAGGTCACCTTCATCTCAGTCCTACCTCACATTCCAAAGGAAAACAGGTGGGGATGGGTGGAGACTGAGTCTGGTCTTTGAATGACCTGAGCTTCGAGAGCTTGCCTGGGAGGATCCTGCCTGGCAGAGGACAGGCCATGTGCGTGTGCCCTGGGAGTCAAGCTGAAATGCTTGAAGAAACCGCCCGATCCAAAAACCGATTTTTTGGGTTTGGGGGAAGTGAGTGCAAAGAGACTGGAAAGCTAAAGAGTCTACAGTCTTTCACATCTAGACATGAGGGCTCCAGAATGAACAAGGAAGCACGTCCCTGCCCTTGCCATCCTCTCCCTCCTCCTCTCCCCACCCCAGCCTACACCAGGCCACAACAACATCACCTCCAACCTGTGCAAAGGTCTGCCTAAGGAGCGCTCACTCCCCCCACAGTCTCGCCTGCACCCTGTCCTGGCTCTCACCCTCCCCAACACGGGACCCAGAAAGTCAGCCCCTGACCCTAGAGTGTCTGCGGAGCTGGAGGAGTAAGAGTAAGGAAAGACAAGAAAATAAGACAAAAATATGGATCGACCCTCTCCCCAAGGAGCCAGAAGCAAGATGTATGTCTGCCTATGGAGACAGGTGAGCAGTGCCCCCTGGAGTTGTTCAACGCAGAATTTACACGGGCTTGAAGTCGTAGGATGGAGGCCAAATTTCTCCGAAATGGGCTTGAGCCTCTCTCCACCAGAAGTATCCAAAGCTCCAGATAGTTATCAAACCCGCACACCAAACCAGCAGTGACCCTGGCACAAAAGTAGTCCAAAGTGGGGGGTCCTGGGGAGCTCCGGGAGTCTTACCTGCTTCTTGAGGTTCTCGATCTGACTTTGCAGCCTCTTACTCGTCTGCTGCAACTGAGAGATCTGGACTTTGGTTTCCTTCATACTGTCACCATGAAGTCGGGCAGATGCCTGAAGCTCCTGGTACTGATGGGGATGGAGATGACACCATTGGTTGAAAGGACCCTCACCTCTGACCCCAGGACCATGAGAAACACCATGTCCCCAGTTCTGTGCCTCCTCAAGCCCTCACTTGGAATGCAGGTTAAATGCTGAAGCAGGGGTATGGTGGGATGAGCTTGCAACAGTCCAGGCTGGTCTCGCACGGTTTCCCTGCACTGCCCCCCTCCTAGAGACGGGAAGTGGGCCATGCCACCCAGCCCCAGAGCTCTGGTCCCCCAAGGGGACCGAGTTGGACAACCACTGGAATGTTGTGGGACCGAGTTGGACAACCACATCTGAGATGTGGGCAGGGAGACCCAGCCTTTTCCTGCCCCGTGCTGCCCCCCACCATCCTTCCCACCCAGCTCTGGCACCTTGGTCCGGTACAGCATCTCCACCTCAGCTTTGCTGCTCTGGGCAATCTCCTCATACCGGGCGCGGACCTCCGCAATGATGTCACTGAAGTCCAAGACTCGGTTGTTGTCCATGGACAGCACCACAGACATGTCACTGGCCTGGGTCTGGAGCTGGCCCAGTTCCTGCAAGGAAGACTAACTCAGTGTCCACCTGCCTCCACTCCCTTTCCCCCGAAGCCCCAGGCAGCAGGGCAGGATGCCTGACTTCCTGCCCATGAACTCCATCAGGGGGCAGCCCTCATTCCACTGGGTATTTGTCCTGTCCTGTCCCCTACTGTCTCCTCATATGAAAACCAGGGTTATAGGAGATGGTGTCTAATGCCATTGCAGTTTGGACATTAAAAGTAAATGCCCTGCAAGCTTGAAATCACCCGGTCCCCATCATTTCTCTGACTGCTTGTCACAGCCCCTCCTCTCCTCCTTCTACTCCGACCCCCATGGCCTCCTTGCTTCCACAAGGATACCAACTCACCACTGGGGGCCCTTCCCTCTGCCCGGAATCTCTGGTTCCACCTGCCTGATTAACTTCCTCACTTCCTTCCAATTTTTACTCAAGCTTTATCTTCTAAATAAAGGCCACTCTGACCACCCTATTTGAAATTACCACCTGCCCCACCTCCCCCTACATTCCTAAGCCTCCTGTCCCTGTTTGCCATAGCATTGATCACCTTCTGACATATTATAAAATTTACTCCTTTACTAGGTCTATAATTGACTGTCCATCTCTCAACAGAAAGCAAGCATCGTGATTTTTGTCTGCTTATTCACTACTGTATCTCCAATACCTACCAATCCACACAGTACATTCTCCGTATCTGTTTGTCAAATGACTGAACGACTGGAATTAACTCACCCTAACGAGGTGTAGCCTCCTGGCCACTCCCACTGTAGCCAGGAAGCCTGCTTGCCCTGCCCCCTCTGCCACTCCCGCTGACCCTTGGTAGATCCTCACTTCTTCACCGAGTTGCCTCAAGAAGCAGAGGTACTCTCGGAGAGACGCCAGCTTGCCTTCCAGCTCCATCTTGCTCAGGAAAATCCCATCCACATCCTGGGGACAGGAAGACAAAAACCATGTCCTCCCACCTCCTGTTGGTGGCTCCCACTCTGGCTCAGGAGTTCTGTTCGCACACTGCCCAACGCTCACCCACGGCTGTCCCCAGAGACCCCTTCATTCCTCCTCCAGCCCCCTTGCCCTGCTCTCCCTTTTGCCTGACACTGACACACACCGCCTTCAGGAAGCCTTCCCTGATTACTCTCAACCAGTTCTGCATCTTCCACTCCCTCCCCAGCCTCTCCCACAGTGACTCCCAGAGCTCATCCTGTGGTCCTTCCATCAGATCTTGTTCTGGGGCCCCTGTGTCTACATAGGTGTCCCATTTCCCTGGGGGCCCTCTGCAGGCAGTGTGAGGTCGTGTCCTGCATTAGGATCATGTCCTGCATTAGGATCTCTGGTCCCAGCCCAGGACTGGGCTTTGTGCATGGTGGGGGCTCGGGATCCCAGTGAAGCAGCTGACTCCCACCCTCACCTTTTTTAGGACCACAAAGTCATTCTCAGCCGTGGCATGCTTGTGGGCCTCCTCCTCATACCTGTCAAATAAGTACAGAAGGATGCTGCCTGAGGCAGCGAGATCGGAGCCCCTGCCCCTCCCAAGCACAACCTCCCCTTGCCCTTAGACGCTCCCAAGCAGGACACGTAACCAGCCCGACCCTCTGCCGTTCCCATCAGGAAGTCATCGCCACGTCCTGGCTACATCCATCTCCACTCCTTCAGCTCATGTCCACTTAGCCACGTGAGGCCACTTTCCATCACGTCTATCAGGCACATTCCAACACATTTTCACACTCGCTGCTCACAATCATCATGTGAAGCAGGCATTTTGGCTTTTGTCAGAGAGATTCATGGTTTGCCCAAGTCATCAATAATTAGGTAGCCCAAGCAGATCTAAAACCAGGTCTCCTGGCCTCTTTCCAGGACCCGCTCCACCTCCCATGCCATCTTACAGATGGGGAACTGAGGCTGGCAAAGACAAAAGGCCGCCCAGCTACCCCTGGCTCGCAGTCACCAAACCCAAGCCTCCTGTTCGTCCAGGGCTCCCTCCACACCACCAAGTGACCTAGGTGGGGAACCCGGAAACATAGCGCAGCTGTGAATCATGCCACACGCCGGGGGATGGTCCCACTAAATGGATTCCCTTCCACCACCAGGACCAGAGAACATCTGAGTCACCTCAGCCCACAGCCTGCTCAACAGGAATTTATCGAGGAAAAACCCGGGGAGGCATTGTTTAAAGAAGCCCCTCCCAGCCCTGACCCAAATCATGGCCCTCAGAGCTGGGTCTATTGGCACTGAGGCTCTCCAGACCCGGGCATCAGGGACTGGGGGGCCTCCTTACCTACCATGGTGAGGGGTGGGGGGACCCCTGAGAATCAGAGGGAATGGGATGCAGAAGGGAGGACCGTCCTGTGTCTCTGGGAGCTCAGCATGGGGGAGGCCCTCCAACTGCGGATCCAAGCCCTCCCAGACCCCATGGGACCTCAGGGTTTGCCTACTTGGCCTTATACTCCTCCTCCTGGTCCTGGCAGGACTTCAGCTCGGCGTCCACAGCCCTTCGCTCCCTCTGGAGCTGTTCCAGTTGCCACCGGAGCCGGGCCAGGTAGCCCTCAAAGAAAGACTCCAGGTCCGGGGGGCTGTCACTCACGCCCAGCCCCTGCAGCAGCTCCCACTTGGTCTCCAGGACCTTGTTCTGCTGCTCCAGAAAGCGCACCTGGGATCCAAGCAGAGGCTCCCTGAGGTTCCTGGGGGACTCCCTGGCCACAGGATCTGGCAAGGAAAACCTCACAGACCCTCAATCCACCTTTCCTCTACCTCCCAGTCCATCCTGGGCAGGGGCAGCCTTGTGCCCTCCCAGGAGACTCTAAACACATCAAAATGATGGGGATTGGCTAACGGGGGAGGGTCCACTGCTGAATGACTGTTCTCTGTTCCTGAGCCCCAACCATAGAACAGCGGAGGCTCCGCATAGAAAGCCTGCAGTTAGACCACAGGAAGGACTTCTTTGCTGCAGAAGCACTAAAAACGTGGTAGCAGAGCAGACCTCCCCATTCCCAAATCCCTGGAGAATGATTCTTCTGAGGGAGGCAAGGAGAGGGGCTTACCTGAGTGGACCCTCACCTTGTCAATGAAGGAAGCAAACTGGTTGTTGAGGGTTCTGATCTCTTGGGTCTCCTGAGTCCTCACCACCTGGAACTGAGGGTCAATCTCCATTTTCAGTGGGGTCAGCAAACTACTGTTGATGGTCACTTCCTGGATGCCCCCCGGAGGGCACAAGGAAATCCTGGGCCCACCATGGCCCTCCCCAAACCGTACCCCTGGTCCTCCCCCTGATCCCCAAACCCTCCCACTAGAGGCTCCTCTGCAGCCCCTAAAGGAAATGAGGCTTCTGCTGCTGAAGCTGCTCGAGCCGCCACGGCCCCCCAGGGGTGCAGAACAGGCAGAGCGAGCGCCAAAGCCCCTCCGGGCCTGGCATGATGATCGAGACATGGTAGAGACGGAAGGTCACACAGCTGCAGACAGACGGAGGATAATCCAGGTGTGTGAGTTCCTGCCCCAAGGCCCCAGAACGAGACTTTTATCCCCTCCCGTGCCTGGGCTGGGCCTTGGGGAGCAAGATGCTCTGGGCCTGACTGTGTCTGTCACCGGCTCCGGCTGACCTATTCTGACACACCTGGAGGACAGGGGCCCAACACGTGTGGAGCCCGAGGGAGAGGAAGCCCAGACCTTGCCCTCAGAGCTCGCAGGCCACCAGGAGATGTCCCAAAGACGAGGAAGCAGACAGAGACCTGGACTCCAGGTGCTGGGGGTAGGGAGGGATGGCCCTGAACTACCACTGAGAGTCATTCAAGGAAGGCTTCCCAGAGAAGGAGATGGGGGAATGGGGAAGAAGAAAGGGGGTTCAGGGGAGCACCTGAGGGCCCTTTCCATGCTTTCCATGCTGGACAGAGGAGTGTGAAACTTCTCAAGAAAGAATCTATCTACAGTAACCGGAGAAGGAAGGCTCTGGGCAGCTTAGGTGAAGCTACAAGGTTAATAAAGGTGTTATTGTCATCGTTGGTTAAAAGACACTCTGGGATTTGGAAATGAAACCGAAAAACAGGGTGTCCAAGTCCCTTCTCTTGCTCAACCCAGCAATCATCCACCAGGCACCACCCCACTCCAACCAGGCATCTCCATCCAGGATCTGGGCAAGTGGCATGTTTCCAAGCCCAGCCCGTGTCCCTGCTCCTTCCCCAGACGTGCAGTGCCAGGCCCTTCCTCTCAGGTCACGCACTGCCTATGTTCGGTTACAAATCAAAGCACCAAAGACTGCCTTGAGGTTCTGGGAGCAGACACAGGAACTTTGGGGTGCCCCCGGGATAGATTCTGTCTCTGCCCCCTGGTAGTCCATGAACCCCCCACCCAGTACAGGACCCTCAGGGGGAAGCGTCCAGCTGCCACCACTGAAACTCTCCCACTACTGGCAAGCAGGGTGGGGTAGCTCTGCTTTTTAGAAATTCCTAAAATTCCTTCTTCACATGGTGGGAGGGTTATTTCTCCCTGCCTCCCAACCTAGTTCTTAGAACTAGGAGACTGGGCCTTTACTAATGTAACACAAAGCAAGAACAAACAGGGACTCAACTTCATGAACACTCAAGAGACATGCTATGAGGAAGTTGGTCCTAACAATGCTCCCACAGGCCAGACAACAGTGAGCAAGCCTCCCCTCCCTCCGGAAGATTAGAAGCCCCTTCCTCCTTCTTCCAGCCCCACATGGCACACCCCTGAACAAAGCTAAATGACAGATGGCCTCAAGAGGAAGAAGAGGTCAGGCCTTCGCCGGAAGAATAGAAGAGATCAAGGGACTGAGGGGCCACGTGAGGAAGAAGAGAGAAAAGATCCAAACAGGAGACCGGAGTGCACCGAGGAGACAGAGGCAGCCTGGAGCAGCTCCAGTGTCTAGAAAGAAAATCTGGGAAATGGGTTGGATCCCACTGAGGGCCCACCACCAAACCCTGCCCCTCGGGACCACTTCGTAGCAGCAAGGAAGCCCAGGTACCTTCCTTCCTTCCATGCGTGTGTTTGAGAAACATTTCTGGAGACTGGACTCTACTACCCCTTCCCCCCAGTATTAAGGGTGGAGAACAGAGATCACAGGTGGGATGGCACCAAACCCACTGGCCTGGAACTTCCTCATCTCTGTAGCGTTGTAGAATATTAAAGTTGGAGCAAGCTCCAAGGTCATCTATCCAATGCCCCATTTTGCACTTAAGGACTCTGAGTCCCCATAGGGGGTAGGGCAGGGTACTGAGACTGTGCACCCTTGGGTAACCTAAGCATTGCACCAGGTGACCTCTGAGCCTGTAATCTGAGTGACTTGCTCGAGGCCACCCACCCCACGGATCAGGCTGGAGCCAGGACCACAACCCAGATCCGACCCCTGCCCCATGGACCCACCCACTAAGCCCTTGTTTATAACATGTCCACCACTGTCTCCGGCTCAGAGTCTGACACACACCAGGCATCAACAGATACTTGTTTTCAGAAATGAGTTCTTACCCACGACAGTCACACCCAGGGAACTTCTTGAAGTACCAGGTTCTCAAATGCTGCTGTAACATGTTTCCTTGTATTTAAAAAATAAATAAATAAAAAGTCAGGGGCACCTAGCTGGCTCAGTCAGTAGGGCGTGCGAATCTTGATCTCGGGGTCGAGAGAGTTTGAGCCCCATGCTGGGCGGAGAGCTTACTGAAAGAAAGAAAGAAAGAAAGAAAGAAAGAAAGAAAGAAAGAAAGAAAACGATTCTATGACATTTTAAATAAATAAATATGATGATTCTGTGGTCTTTTAAGTAAATAAATACATAAATTAATTAATTGACTAATTAATTTAATTAAAAAGAAATGAATGATTCATAAATAAATAATCACGCGGTGATGGAGAGAAGGCTGAAACAGTTTGGGGATTTGAATGCTAGACTCCCGCTGAAGGACTGACTTGTCTGGGTACACAGAGGTGCATAAAAAAAGGATCTCCACTCATGCAGTGGCCAAAGTGCCGATGGCTGGAATCACAATTTCACATGAAACCTGGCAGTGGGAAGGCTCTGACAGGCTATGTCCGGGGCTCCCGGTTAACCATCCTCAGCCACACATCATTCTCGGCAGGCCCTGGCCACCTGCGCCCACCTTTGGGAAAGTGCCGGACTGGAACGGCTTCTCATGGCTCCCCTGCAGCCCCTTCCCTCCCTGCCTCACCCCTTCCCTCCCCGCCTCACCCTAAGTCCTCCCTCCCACCCCCACAGCTATCATTCCCCAACCTCTTTCCCTCAAGCCTGTCCTGTCTGCACAGTCTATTTTTGTTGTTGTTGTTGAAGTTTTTATTTATTTGTTCAACAGAGAGACCACAGAGGCAGAGAGGCAGGCAGAAAGACAGGGGGAAACAGACTCCCTGCTGAGCAGAGAGCCCAATGCGGGGCTCCATCCCAGGACCCTGAGATCATGACCTGAGCCGAAGGCAGAGGACTAACCCACCGAGCCACCCAGGTGTCCCTGCACAGTCTATTTTTTTACCCAAATGCCATTTACTCACATTTATTCATTATTTTTTCACCAAAATGTGATCAGTCACCCACTATGGGCCGGGTCCTGCTCTGAGAACTAAGAATTTAGCCAAGGGCAAGCCCAGCCGCTGCACCAAGAGAGCTCAGAGTCCTGTGGAGAAAGAGACACGGAACAGGCCATTAGACAAGTATTTCCCTGCAATTACAACAAGGAGAGGAAAGTATAGGGCATGAGAGAGGCCTAACTAACCTAGCTTACCCCCTAATTTATTCTCGAACGTGCCAGGAACACTCCCACCTCGGAGCCTTTGCACGTGCTGTTCCCTCTTCCAGGAATGCTCCTCCCCAGCTACCCACAGGGCTAAAACCAAAATTGCAACCCTGGGGCCATCCCTCCTCCAACACTTTTTGTCTCTTTCTCTCAGCTTGGGGCCTGCCCCTGCCTTACACAGCGAGTATTTCACTCCCTCATTTCACTCATCAGTCTTCCTGCAGGAGAATGTGAGCCCCATGAGGACAGATATGGGGTCCCCTTGCTCTTTTGTGTATCCTCTGCACTTAGATCTGTCCCTAGCGGGCAGGAGGTGAGCAATAAGTATCTTTTGAGCACATGAATCCCCAGTCAGTTTCATCTTGTTGGTTTCCTTCCATCTTTCAGCCTCTGGAGGTCCTTGTGACTCTAAACTCTATTCTCTGAAGCAAATCTCCAACCACCTTCTCCAGGTGGGAAACATGAATGCATTGAAAAATATGGACATGTGTGAGTGTGTGTGTGTGTGAGTGTGTGTGTGTGTGTGCGTGCGCACACGTGTGTGTGTGTGTATTGAACTCCTCCTGTGGGCTGAGCGCTGAGCTAAGCGATACAGGACATACACGATGGATAAGGCCCCATCCCCACTCTGAAGGAATATAGAGTCCCAGGGAGGCTACACATAGGAATACAGAAGCTGGGGGCAGCCTGAAAGGGACTGCCCCAGTTCACAAGTTTGCATGTTGGTGTATAGCGGGGGATTCCTCTTTTGGAGGAACATTGACCTACTGCCGTGGTCTTGGAGGAGACAGGACAGACTCCTGTGGCCCACCCCTAGAAAACCCTTCCTCTACAGATTTACATCCTCCCAGCCTAGGTCCTGTGGGGCCTATGCTCCGTTCTTTGGAAATCTACACAGTTGTACTTTTTCAGACCCCATTTTTTTAAGATTTTTATTTATTTATTTATTAGAGTGAGAGAGAGCATGAGCAGGAGGAGTGGGGGAAAGAGAAGCAGACTCCCTGATGCGGGGCTCAATCCCAGGACCCTGGGATCATGACCTGAGCCAAAGGCAGACGCTTAATGAATGACCCACCCAGGAGCCCCTTTTTTTTTTTAATTCAGCATCCAATTCCTTCATTGAAATAGAATTGACACACAATGTTACATTAGTTTCAAGGGCACACATAGTGATTGGACAAGTCTATACACTGTGCTGTGCTCACTGGCCAGTGTAGCTCCCATCTGTCACCAAACAACATTATGACCTTACCATTGACCGCATTCCCTATTCTGTGCCTTTCATTCCCAGACCTCATCCATTCCATAAGTGGAATTCCGTAAGTGGAAGCCTGTATCTCCCACTCCCTTGCATCCATTGTACCTCACCCCATGTCCTGTCTTTCTTCAAGAACCTCAGAAATGTACCAAATATCTCAGAGACTATCCCAGATAGTCTCTGTCTGACCTACAAAACTATTAAGATAATATTGCCAGTGAATTATTTTATCCAACAACAAAGCAATAAGTAAAAAATAAATGGCCTGCATGTCAGCTCCATTCTAAGAATTTTACATATATTAAGCATGTAATCCTCACAACTCTGTGAAATGGGTATTATTAGTATCACCAATTTATAGAAAAGGGAACTGAGGGCACCTGGGTGGCTCAGTTGGTTGGGCGGCTGCCTTCAGTTCAGGTCATGATCCCAGAGTCCCAGGATCGAATCCCATATCAGGCTCCCTGCTCAACAGGGAGTCTTCTTCTCCCACTGACCTCTCTCATGTTCTCTCTCTCTCTCTCTCTCTCTCTCAAATAAATAAATACATAAATAAATAATTTAAAAGAAAAGAAAAGGGAACCGAGGTGCCTATGAGAAAAAAGAATTTCCTTCAGGCCATGCAGCTAGTATGCTACAGAGCAGGACCTCGA